TGCAGACACTCAGAGCCAGATGCATCAAAAGCTTGCTCTGTTTCCTTGGTAACTTCAAAACTTAAATGGCAACAAATTCAAAAGATTGGGGAAGGGGTGAAGACCTGCACATTTATCCCATGAGTCTCAGGTATCTTTCTCTCAAAATCAGCTAAGTTTACAGTTTTGGAACACTGTGGGCCTACATAAGTGAGTCATCGCCATGTGTGGCTTTTGGGGGAAACCTGCAGCTTCAGGGTTTTGAGTGTGGGATGTAGGGTTTGCCAAGAAGTAGCCCAACTGACTGGTGTCATTTGTAGCATTCAGGTGATGCTGGGAGCTCCAGGCTCTCTCCCCAGCTTCTGTTTTGTGGGAATACCTGACTGCAGAACCAAATTTTTTGTGCATTGAAGTTCCATTAAGAGATGGTAATAAACATTACCAAAAGAACTGTTTGTTAATTAAAAGGAAAAACGTGCTAAGGGAAGAGAAATGGAGTTAGGAACGCTCCATTTCTATTTAGGGAGTAAAACAAAATGGCTCTTGTAAAGAGTCTGCAGGCACTTGTTCATGTCTGGATGTTTCTGTTGTCCGTCATAGCTAATAGCTTTTACACCCTACAGTTATGATCAGGTCAGGTTTAATGACCACATTAATCTATCTCTTGTAGTTTCATATACCCAAAACCAGAGATATTTTTTTTTTTTTAAATAATTATTGCTCATGATTCTAAGGAATATTGTTTTCTTAACAGTAGTCATTTAACAGTGTTCAGAATTCAAGCTCTGGTTTATGTGTTGTATGTGGTTATGTGCTAGAGTTGAAAGAAACTTGATATGTGCCAGAGAAATCTATAAGCAGATTTCAAATACCCACATATCTGTCTAGTAAGAGATGAGAGCCAAGAGTGGTCTGAATGTTCATGTTGCCATTACCATAACTGCTTGACTGTACATGCATCATAATGAGCCTTTAATTTCCCTTTAAGTCGTGTATTGCAATTCATTAAGTAAATTCCATATCTTCTCCCGCTTTCTTCTACTTCTCTTTCCCATGTAATTTGTCTGACTATTTGCATATATTTTCAAAATTTATTTAATTTTTTTTATGAACGTGTACACTCTTCATTTTCCAACTAGGTTAGATGGTTGAAAAGTTAGTTATGGATTACATAATATTGTGTGGGCTCTCAATGCTGTAAGAAACCTTAATTGCTGAAACACAAAATATAGAAATGCTTTGCATTTGTCTGTATTTACTTTTTGAACAGAATTTAAATCCTACACTGGAAATGTTCAGATTTCCAAGTTACCAGATCATCCAAAGTATGACATATATTAAGAGGTACTCTGTTAAACAAAAAACCAGGTACAAAAGGTTTTGTTACTAATTGTGTCTAGTAAGACAAAAAAGCTCCACAAATAGTATTTCTGAAATGAAGACCAGACCTAACTTTTTTTAAACGAAGTCAGAGTATCTCGTCTGACTTCAGAACTACTTTCTGAGCAAGTGTTACAGGACGAAGCCTCTGAAAACATCTTGGCCATTGGTTCTGACACTCTTGGCCAGCAGAAATCAACATAAATTCTGCTGCTGAACTGTGGAGCAAATGTCCAACTAGAAATAATTTGGATAATTATTGGATTAACATATAAGTCACATCCTGATTAGCATTTCATATTTAAAATTTTTAAAAAATTATCATTTTACTCTTTTTGTAAGGAAAGACTACCTTGTAAGGAACAATGAGATATTCTTTATTTGAAAAGAAGAAAGGGGGGGAAAAAAAGGTTTTTTTGTTTGTGTTTTTATTTGTTTTTTTCAACTGCTTTAAAAAAGATTTCCACTTCATGATAAAGAGAGACTTGAGAAGTGGCTGCGGAATATGAAACGAGATGCATGGACTCCAAGTAAGCACCAGCTTCTATGCAGTGATCATTTTACCCCTGATTCCCTTGATGTGCGATGGGGTATACGATACTTGAAACATACTGCTGTACCAACAATTTTCTCTTCCCCAGGTGATGAGGTAATGTATTCCTATCTTTTTTATCGTACAAAGCTAACCAACTATTTATGTAACACAAATGTTCTAATTATCTGTAATATATTGATATTTTATTTTAAAAATAGAATTCCTGTCCATCAGAATATTTTGTCAATAGGACTGACATAAAACGAGTATGTGATTCCATAGTGTAAAGGAAGAACAGCTTCCCATACTTTGACTGGAGGTTCAATATCTTTTTTAACTGGAAATTACAGAAGCTTTTCCTACAGGAAATTTTCCATGGGAAAATAAATTTCCTATGAGAATATTATGATTCTAAATACTTTTTCCTGTGCAATTACTCTTAATTAATATTTTAATGTTCTTTTAAGGCCTTTTATTAACTGTACATAAATACTGGCTTTGGAATGTATTAGTTTAAAACTACACATTTCTCTTTCCTGTCGCTAACCTCTCTAACACCTAAGAACTGAGGAGTGTAGGCTGCTAAAGATACCCCACAAAGACTATCCGATCTTGTTTTTCACAGAGTTGTACTATTGATTACATAAAAATACTGTGCTACACAGGCACCTAATCTTGATCAAAGCTATGCTGATTCTCTTCTGGCACATAACTCTCTTCCTCTGGATCATCATGTTGGAGCTGGGAGAAATGGAAGGACTGGATTTAAGGCTAAATTGCTGAAACTGAAATGTGTGGCTAATTAATTTTACAAAACAATTTATTTTTAGTCATGAAGCTCTCTGTCTTCTTGGATAGCTGCAAGTGTTGTCCAGGCAGCTTTTGACTCTATAGAGTGAAAAGCAATCTTGATAAATCTCTCAAATATAAAAATAGAAAATATTGCAATTTATAGCAGTAGTAACTTAGCAATAAATATCTTTCCTCCCCCCCGCCCCACTTCAATATCTCCTTCACTTCCCTGTGCTGTTACTGTAACAGGGAGCCCTAGTTTTGGAACTGGACTTTGCTGCCCTATGCTGCTGTGCAATTACTGATAAACTGTGTGATTTCCCCCTAAAGAAAAGTTGGCTTTTCCCCACCTCTTCATTCTCTCGTTTTGCATGTGACCATAGACCACTCATAGCGTACCTACAAAGATGGACAGTAGAGTTATGAACGTAACAAACTTTTTATACGGTGGTGCTGCCAAGAATATACCAATGGCTTCTCAAAATTAGTTTTGCCTCAGCAGTATATATCTGGGAAATCCCAGATAGATCTATCCAGTTTGGAAAAATAATATTCTGTGCTTCCTTTCAATGTATCCATCACTTCCCTGCTATCAAAAGATAAGAGGTGCCAGTTCTTCATTTCCGTGATACTGTGAACTTGCTTTCCTGGGGTCTCACTCCTCTCTCCGGCATTATTTTTTTAACCTCACGCTTCTGACTGCACTTTTCTAAACATCCAGACCTATCTTGTCAGTGACCACCTTAGCAAATCAATGATTTCCACTGACTAGGCCACTGGTTCTGTAGTTGCCCCAAACCCAAATTTGCTACACAGGCTGAATATTCACAAAGACATGGGAAAGAGCTCTCCTTACTCTGAGGAAGAATCCCTTGTTTTAGTGTGTTCCCAAGTTAATGTAGAGGAACAAGAAGCTAAGGTCCCAAGCTGCCTTGCAACACTTGTCTATAAACCCTTGGTTTGGAAAACTGAGAGTGAAAAGTTGCAATATTTGTGTATTGCTCACCACCACCTTGCTTTATGTGTTACGGAGCAAGTGAAGGATATCTTCCCAGAAACGCTTAATGATTCTTCAGGGAACATTTCATATTATTTCTTCTTCTAAATAAAGAATGTTTGTGTCTCAAGAGCAGTGTTAGTTGTCTGCATTTCAATATCAGTAACCATTCTACATTAATCTGCAAGGATTTTTATTCTGAAGACTGTCATAAGAGTGTGAGGGCAGGGACCGATGGACAAGGAAGCTTTTCGATGAAAGTAAAGGTCTTTCTTCAGGCAGCTCTATCCTCAGAGGTGTTTTGGCACCTTTCCTTCAGCCTTACTGGCAGTTTTGGTAGACAAGGGTTTGGGGGACATTTCCCTAATTTATTTCATAAGAGATTTGTCTAGTTAAAAGATTTAGCCTGAGAAGGTCTATTTCAGCTGCTGGTAGAACAGAGAAAGGGAAATACTTCATTCTCTCAAAATCGCTAAGATTGATGTGATGTTAAGTATCATATTTGAAAAGATAAAGGTAACCAAATTAATTCTATTCTTGTATACATTTTTCAGTCCTTGAAGACTGAAGTTTCATATAAAATCAAATTACGAAGTTTAATGTATTTAGGATACTTCAGACTACACACATATATTTATGAACATACACTTTGAAGTTATCTTTTCCATCATAATCTGTTTTTTCAGCCTGGCCTCTTCCCTTCCCCCGCTTCTTGTTTTTTTTCTTTTCTTTTTCCCCCTCTTCTGTTTTTTCTGCCTGGCCTATACTTAGTTAGCAAAGTGAAAGTTGCTTCTTGTTCTCTTTCTTTGTTCTGGACGGTTTTGGTTTTGTTTTCTTAGTCCATAGGCCTAACATGAGTACAGGTTCTGCAGCTTGGTCTCTTCATAGTCAAGCCTACTAGAAAAAAAGAAGACACTATTAGTGTATTTTTGTTTCACTGACTGACATACTAAAAAGTTTGGATACTGATCTTAGATCTAATCATGTGGTGGTGTAGTTTATGTGAGGGAGGGGAAAAGAAGGTGGCTAAAAAAGGATACACTTCAAATTGTCCCTCTTTCAGTAACAACTTCTGTTTAAAGTCCTGTTAAAATTGTATCCTTCTGCTAAGATTTCCATCCATCCAAAAACAAGTTTTCCATTTTTATGAATTGTGAAGTTTAGTTGTCAGAATTGAATTGCTCATTTAAAAATCAGCCTGTATGATTGTGCATGAATATGGTTGACTATTCTGCAAGCCTGCATTCATAATCTTTTGTTGTTGTTGTAAAATTCTCTTTTGGGGTAGACCATGTGACTAAAAATTTGCTATATCTTTCTGAAACAACTTTGTTGCATCTTTCATGCAAAAATCTTGTACTGTGTATATTTAATATACATATATTTATTACAGTGTTTCAGATGGTAATAGGAGATGTTAGCCAGTCTGTCAGATTCGTGTAGCCACTTCTCTTCAAGTGCTTTTAAAATTATGATGACTCATGTAAATCAGTAAAGCTCCTTAGAGTTTGAAAAAGGAAAAAAAAAAAAAAGTATTATTGCCTCTGGAGCTTTAAAATAGTATTTTAACATTTAGGACCTGAAGCAAAGTTATGGAAAATGCTTACATGAATTTTAGGTTCCTGGTGTAATTTTTAAACAGTGCTCATCTAAATTACTCCTAATGCAATACTGTGTTATGGAATGAGATTTGCCTCATTTTTGTTATGCTCCAGTGATTTCCTAGTTACAAGGTGGTTGGTTTTGGATTTCTTTTCCTCCAGGAAAAAGATTCTTCTCAGAACAGCCCACAAGAGATAAAGAGAGAAGACCCAGAAGAAACAAATACAAATGTAGTGTCAGAGAAAGCATCTGCATCACTTGAACCTTGTACACCAAAGAAAAATCCTGTAATTGCAGAAAACATAGATGAAAAAGTAGAAGTAGTTTGCTCAACTGCATTGAGTAAACCTTTACAAATTCAAACACTGCAACTTCAAAATGGAGAAGACTTTCAGGCAGACAGTGTCATTCTTGATAATTCCTCTAAGCAGCATATGCATCAACCTAATCCTGTTTTAATGGCAGCAGCAGTCCAGAGCATGGAAGCTACCAGTGTTCATACTTCTGTAGAGGATCCAGTAGGTTGTACAGCTACAGTCTTGCAATTTACAGACCCTGACTACTTGAATTCACCTCTGAAACTGAAAAATGCTTTAGGTTCAATTACTGACTATGCAATTGAAAATCCTAACTCTCATGTTGTAGGCTGCTCTGTTGAAGTACAGCCAACAAGTGAAAATGCAGTTTTGCTGAGTACAGTCACACAAACTATTGAACAGTTCAGTGGAAGTGAAGAATCTGTCATTGCTATTATTGTGCCAGCTGAGAGTCCAGAAAACCCTGAAATAGTAAATAGTTCTTTCCTGCCTATTAAGCAAGAGTTTCTTGACACAGAGGAGACAGAAACAGTTAAATCTGTGTATATGAATGCATATGGTGGAAGTGAAGTATTACAAACTGAGCATTCATACTGCAAACAAGACATAGACAGAGATCACCTTTGGCAAAAAATTTCGAAGCTGCACTCTAAGATAACTCTACTTGAAATGCAGGAGATAAAAACTTTGAAGAGACTCAGGTCCTTGGAAGCTCTTATTGGACAATTGAAGCAAGAAAACCTACTTTCTGAAGAAAAGCTGAAGATTGTAGAAAACTGCTTTACAACACTTGAAGTGACTATGATACAGTAAAGGCTTTCGATGATTGTTCTAAAATATCTTTTTAGTCTCTTTGTCCTTTTTGGACAAATTAACTTTTGTTTCAGTCTTGGTATTTTAAACATCTAATGCAAATTGTGTGAATAGCAAATATTCTTTAAAATGTTACATCAACCACTACCAAAGCTAGGTGGTAGAACATTGCCTATAAAACATGACTTGCAAGTAAGCTTTAAAGAAAAATAAAACCTGTTAAAGTTTTGTTAAAAAGTGTATGAATTGAATCAATAAAGAGAGGTTAAACCTTTCTAGCTGCGGGCGTCTCTGAAACATGCAACTGCTGCATTTGGGGCAGCAGTAGAATGGACAGAATAAGTGTGTAGGATGGACAATTATAAAACTTGTTTGGAGAAAAAAAAAAAAAAAAAGCATCCCAATTCTCTTTCAAATGAGTAATGAGGTACATAATACACTTTGTCCAGTGAGGCCACAACTACTCTTTAATCTTCTGTCCATCTAACATTTGTTCTGACAGTTTTTTGTACACTTGGACCTTATTAAAATAGTTTCTGCAATAAAAAGTGTTTCCTTTCATTTAGTTCTAGAAACAAAAATTCTTTAAGAATATTGTTACAGTGGACAGGTCCATCTGTTTTTCTGGTGATTCAGCTCGAATGGAAAGAAACATATTTTTCCTGGTTAGTAAAAGGGAAAGCTCTAACTATTCAGAGAGTCCTATCTGCTCTGCATTGATTTTCTTACAATCTGTAGCTGGGTAACGCATATACCCTTAATAATACACTGAAGAAAACAATGCTTTGCAGACCAAATTGCTAGTGAAAGTAGCAGAATCTGGCTCATTATTTTTCTATAAGTTACTCTTTGAGAAATGGAATGACAAGACTAAAAATCCACTCCGCTGTATTGATTTTATTAGCTGTTTCTAGTGCACAGGATACCACTACAGTAGAAAGATACTGACAATTCATTTTGAGAGAAATTAATTTGCTTCAATATTTCTGCTTATTCTGTCTGCTTGCCACCCTGCAGATCTAGAGTTCACTGTACAGTGTACTAGTATTAGATCATCTATTCCCAACTGTACATCACAGATCTTTGTGGGTCCCTTCAAACTAAACCATTTTAGTCTAGTCCATTCTACAATGATTAGATTATTTGAGGGGCTTGGATGTATTTTCCTTTATTCAGAAGTGTGTCACCACCACCAGTTCAGTCTAGGACTGGAGCAAATGGGTTCCTTTGCAGTCTGTTACCTGTATTCTCTATCAGACACGTTCTAAACTGTTCTGGTAATCTTTCCATAAGGAATTGAGGATCAAGCAACAGTAATTACAAAGCTGGCCTCCAACTAGATAACAAGTTGCAAACGAGTCGAATTTCAGAAATTTTTTGAGACTCAGTAGCTGCCTAGAAGTTGGTCTGCTAAAGCACAGGGATGTAAGAGGTTAGTCTGTATCAGTAACCACTGTAATAGGCTTGGTTTGTCCTTCAGCTTGTTAACTTCTTTCAGGCTCTCAGCACAGGATATGCTTAGATATGCTAAAGAAGATGAACGTAAGTTATAACATGATGAATTATTTACTGGGACTCTGTGACACACTCATTTTTTTCCCCTCTTATTAGAGTGCTGTCCTTGTGACAAAAGAACATGCCTGCTCTGCCTTGTGTGCTCTGAAATCACAAGAGGTGTCCCGTATCCTCTAGAAACATTGCTGCTATACAGGGTCCAATCTTGTGAACATTGTCCAGGTGGCCTCTCTGAACTTCACATTTTGTAATTTTCTAGAAAGAGGTCTTTCAAAAGTGATTTACAAAATGCTATATGAAATTGTGAAATGATTTAGCAATTTTAGAAATTTCATGAATGTCACTACAAATCCTCTGCTAACACTGTATATTGTAAGACTTACCATCCAGTTCAAAAGTCCACTGTAGGTCTTGAATGGCAGTGGGAGCTCAGACATGGCAAAAGAGTTACAACACTAAGCTGTTGTCTCAGGAGAGTTCTATTCCTGAAGAAATTTTTTTTTTTAACATGATATTTACATTTCTGATATATTTTTCCCTTTAATAACAGTACCCAGTATTAAAGTTGAGAACGTTATTTGTAGCATAGATTTCTTTAAACCTGGGAAAAAACAAATGCTCAATTTTCCTTTTTTTATGGAGTTTCTTGGGACTATAGCAGAAGAACTCAGTAACTCTACAAGCCTGTCACCAAGCCGACAAATTTCCCTGCTATAGGGTGATTTGATCCAGTGTGCCTAGGGTGGACATAACGGGCCCTCTGCCTTTCTTCTTTACACACAGCTTTTTGTGCCAAATAGGTCATTATTAAGGCCTACAATTAGCACTTCTCACCTGGGCCTATTACCTAACTTGCCTAAAGTAACACCTGCTCACTTACCAAGCAGGATATTACATCTGTAAAGCAAACGTGTCTAACAACAGATGTTAAATAATATGACAGTTTATTAACCTGGTGTTCTCAAGTAGAATTTTACAACATTAGGTCTAAGTTTACCCGTTTTCCTTAATTCTAAATTTGACACGTGATTGCTCTCAGTGTGTCAGATCATAGTGTGTCCATCCCATCTCAGTATGTCCATCCCATCCAGGTTCCTGGTTTCTGCAGCAGCCAGCATCACCAACTTCAAAAAAAAAAAAAAAAAAGCCAGAGGTTGTCTGAAAACAAGATGATTTTGTATGTAGCATTTCTCAGGACCAGTCTTGAAGTGATGAAGAGGTTGAAATTCCACAAAGCAGCTTGAAGGTAGTCCAGAATCCATGCTGTGTTTTGTAGGTGACTCTTGCAAATTGATTCCAATGAATTATTTGGGGCAGAGAACTTTTGTATTCATTTTAAAATATTTAGTATTATAGCTGGCTATTGTTGCTTACAGAAAAACATGGCTACGTCCTTTGCTTCAATGACATGCTGACACTGAATTACTCAGGCTAATCATTACGAGGAAGGAAAAATACTGTGCTGGAAATTGCCATACCCAAGTGAATTAGATGCTACTTGTACATGTTATTTTCATTGTTTCCTAATCATAGAGCTGTACAGTCTTTGCACACAATTTTATTTCACTAAACTTTATGGACTCTCGAAGGTGCTATATTATTCTTTGAGATCCAATGGAAATTGCTTTTGTGCAGTTGTAGCCCAGCATCGAAGCAGTACACTGAATCATCATTCCTTTTCTAATGTATCAGGCTTATCTTGATTAAAGTTAAATGTTCTTCCTTATCTTTTCAATTATTTTGCATTTGCATCAACATTTTTTTAAAACTTTTGACTGCCTGTTCCCACTGATGTAATTAATTACTTCAACACTTCACAGATTTAACAGATGTGGACTCTTTTCCTAATTCACCTTTTGAAATGCTAAGCTGTATTTTTTTTCCACTGGCTACTGGCTACTGTAGGAATTTGGCATTTGGCTTTCTCCTAGATCTTCATTTAAGTTCCACCAATTTTATTAAACTTGTCTACAAGCAGTGTAGTTGCATCTGGAATAAACTGATGCCCATTTCCCCTGGTTTTCCATCTTCTTTACAAGGTGGAGTGTGAAGTTTAATTAGCTCATTCTGAACACAGTGCCAGCTACAGGGGATTTTTTCTTTCTCCCAGACTCATAAGTATCTGGGACTTCTATTCTGTACCACTTTCTTGCATCAGTGGTACAAATGTTGACTGTACTCTTGCATGCTTCAGAAGCATTCATTAGAAGTTTGTCTTTGATATCTTTTTACTCTCCTTTACCACAGTGAAGTTGTAATTATTCTTCCTTTCCACTTAAACTCTCTCCTACTCTGAGACTTTCTACATTAGAAAAAACAGCAGCAGACATGGGCTCAGTCAAAATGTCATCTTTGTAACAATTCATTTCCTCTGTCCTCTTCTGTTTTGCCCAGGCTAGTCAGCGACGATGGGTGCTCTGGGCCGGTGCCGTGGGGTCCAGCTGTGCCCACCTTGGCCATGGGGCAGTCACCCTCCTGTGAAGGGATCCCCCACCTGGCTGCAGTGCGGCTGGGCTCTGATGCCACAGTGCATAAATTCATGCTAGATGCTGTTTTCTCATCAGTAAACTTGAAGTTACATGTCACATTTTAAAAATTACACTTCCCTCTACCTCCCAACTTGTTCTGTAATAGATTGATATCCTTCATACCTAACCACACTTTGGTCCAAACTGCCTTGTGTGCAACTCAATGCCTGCCCTCACTGGACAATGCTGCTTAACTGCAGGCTAATGTCATACACGCACATCGGCACACCGCACTTCAGCCTGTACCCAGCGCTGCCTTAGCAAAGCACTAGGCACAGCCCAGCCCAGCCCTTCCCTGTCGCAGGGAGATGGGGTAACACCCAGGGACCCCATCACATCACCAGGTGAGGGCTCATGCTGGCAGGGGTTGCCAGCACGCTGTGGATTCATACATGTGGTTCATTACCCCATGCAGCGCTACAGGCTTGGGGAAGAGTGGCTGGA